CACTTTGCCTGATACACTGGTAGTAAACATAATTTGTGTCATTTAGGAAACTCAAAGATGGAGGGATTCTTCAATGTGCTAATGCTATCTCTGGGGCAGTGCCACAGATGGACTAACAGGACATGGCTTTATAAAATTTAACTGGGGAGCAAATTCAACATTTTTATTATAAGTCTTTCCTAAGTTTCATGTCTAAAAAGTAATGCTGTAACAGAAGAGAATTTGGGAGTTTCTTTGGAAAAACAGCCAAACTACATACTATAAATTAAATATGGATTAATAAGGTGGAAAATGGTAGGACAACAGTTATTAAAGTAAGACAAATATCAGATTACTTATATCAACCAAACTTCAGTGTAATAAATGGATCAATCTGAATTCTAAACAACTTCACTAGGAGAACTTAAAGCTCCTACTGTTTAAAAAGAATTATTCAACTTCTTAAGATCTGCCAGAATTATTAACCATACAATGCTTATTCAACTTAAAATTTCCTTTCAAACAAATAGACTTTCAATCACACAAAGGCTTTTCCCTAGGACCTAGACTAAAATGTTATGAACTAAAAGAAAAAAGTACTGACAAATTGGCTGGCTCATTCAAATAAATCAATTTGAAAGGATTATAGATTAAGCTGACAGTTTGAGTATTAAGAGAATAATGAAAGAAGGTTGGGTTTTGAAAATAATTTTGGAATGAGAGTAAGAAATTCCAAGTATTATATAATTTTTTGACATTATAAGGCAGAAATAAAATAATAGCTTGTAATTCTTATATAGGGCATGAGGTGGTGCTGTATTCTACCAATTCAGGAAAATTCATATAAATGCAAACTGAACTGTTATCTCCTTTATTTGCCATATACAAATTTTTACTTATTTTCATTCATAGCATATAAGGAAATGCTGAAAAGTACAAAACCAAATACCAAAGCAAAAAATTCTAGTTATCAAAACAAATATATCAGTATAGTTATATTTTTCTTGGAACAATGTAGTGAAGGAACATGATTTGTTTTAACATACAAATTCTGTATTATTATTAAGATTTTTGGTGAGAAAGAACTATTAAGCAGTAGATCTGCCATAGATTTAGTCAGAGGAGGAACTCATCTCTATCTTCATCATCACTACTGTTTATTTTTATAAAGATATCCTGTGTCACATACTTATTAGGATGCTATTTGTTTTGGGGTTTCATAAGACAAGTAGGCAACTAGTTTTTGAATTTTTTGTTATTAAATAATTGTAAACTATATATACTTTAAAAATAAAAGCTTAAATAGATAATTTATGAAGGGTAAAATTGATGTTGGCTGAAATCTAATTGACAGGTTGAATTGATAAATATTTTGAAAATGTGAGAGACTTATAATGAAATTATTATCTGTAGCTTTCAAAAAAATTAACAGATAATGAACCATTTGGAATTTAAAATGTTTATATTGTCATATATAGACATATTATATATATAAGATATATAAATGGTATATTATAGATGCTATATATGTGTACAGACATTTATAATATATAGGTTGTACAACATATGTGTGTGATATGTGTGCATATGCTATACAATATATACATATAAAACATAAATGTAGGTATACTCTAAGAATCTGAACATAGGAAGTATTGCATATCTGGAGTTTACAACTGATAGTTTGGGGCTTACTCTAATTCTAAACATAACTGGTCTTAGGAAGGAAGGTGAAACTATTTCTCTCTGAAAGGAAAATTCCTGACATTACTTGACCATTACAGAACCTAAGTAAATGAACAGAATTCAGAATTTTAAATCGAATAGTAATATAGTAACTAAGTATGGCCAATAGAAAGTAATATATGTTTAGTGCCTGTAAGAATCTTATTTTCCTTTTGTAATTCAAATCCTTTATGAATTGTGTGAATTTATGGTTTAAGGCATGATTTATCCTTACCTGACCATTACAACAATTTTCTAATTTCTGAAAAGTACTTCTCTGTCCCAATTCCATACTTTTCTGTTCCACATGAAGTTGACATACCCAAACTTGTTTGAAATAGATTTAAAGTATCTGGAAAATTAATTTAACAATCCTTATTTAATCAATACTTTATTCCGTATATTCATAACCATATACTTTTCAGAGTGGTTATAAAACCTTAGGAATGTATGAAATTAAAAAAAGAAAACTTCAAGTAGTACAGTTCTTTTAGAATTTGTCTAGCAGATTCTCCGTTTTTTACTAGAAAATCCCCCAACAAGAAACAAGACTTAAAGAAAAATGTGGCCAGGCATGATGGCTCACATCTGTAATCCCAGCACTTTGAGAGGCCAAGGCAGGGGGACCACCTGAGGTCAGGAGTTCAAGACCAGCCTGGCCAATATGGTGAAACCCCATCTCTACTAAAAATATAAAAATTAGCCAAGCATGGTGGCACACATCTGTAATCCCAGCTACTCAGGAGGCTGAGGCAGGAGAATCACTTGAACTTGGGAGGTGAGGTTGCAGTGAGCTGAGATATTGCCACTGTATTCCAGCCTGAGTGACAGAGTGAAATTCTGTCTTAAAAAAGAAAAATGTAACAAAGGACTGAACAGTGTTGAATAACAAAAGGGTCACTGACTCAAAAAACATAATTTCAGCTCATCTAAGAAATACCAGATAGTAAGCAACATCGGGCAATATAAAGATCAGAAACAGGATATTAAAAGGTAAGATATACAGAGCTATCAATTATTTTCAAAAGACATTACATTTTATACAAAACTCAAGGAATTAAAAAGTTGATGGTATGCCCTTTTCTTTTAATAATTAAATTACTTTAGTACCTTTTACCTAATTCCCAATTATCATCCACACCCTTCTCTGCTCTTGACTTAGATAAAAAACTGAAGTAGTCTCTTTGTTATATAATCATTATGACTTACAGACTAATTTTGGAATTTTTCTTTTAGACCTGCAGGGCTACCTTATTACATTCAGGTGCTATCCCTAGGCCAAGTTATCATCACTTTATATTTGGAAAACTCTATCAGCCTCTTAGATAGTCTCTCTAACTGAGGTCTCCATATATAATATAATAGTAGATTAACTTTTCTTAAACTATACTTTCATCATGTCATTCCCATACAAGCACTCAGTCATTCCTTAGTTCTATAAGAATATTAACACTATTATTTATTCATGTCCTTTGTATAGAATAAATATTACTAACATTATTAACACTATTATTTATTGTCCTTGGCCTTGTGCTAAATGCTTTACATATGTTTACATATTATTTAAATCTTTTCAAAGCACACAAATATACTTATTCCCTATTTATGGATAAGAAAACTGAAACTCTGGGCCGGGCATGGTGGTTCATGCCTGTAATCCCAGCACTTTGGGAGGCCAAGGCAGGGGATCAAGAGGTCAGCAGTTTGAGACTAGCCTGACCAACATGGTGAAACCCTGTCTCTACTAAAAATACAAAATTAGCCAGGTGTGGTGGCACAGGCCTGCAATCCCAGCTACTCAAGAGGCTGAAGCAGGAGAAGTGCTTGAACCCAGCAGGAGAGGTTGCAGTGGGCTGAGATCACACCACTGCACTCCAGCCTGGACAACAGAGCAAGACTCCGTCTCAAAAAAAAGGAAAACTGAAACTCTGAATGGCTGCTAATTCACCCAAGGTCACACAGTTATTAAGTGACAAAAATAAGACTCAAGTCCAGGTAGATCTCTATCCAAAATTCTAGACGACAAATCTAATCAACATCTAGAACACTGGCACAGAGTAGTCATTCAGTAAATATTTGCAGAATAAATGAATGAATAAATAGTATGCTACACTACCTTGGTATACTGTTAATAGTCAAATGAAAATTTGTATTTTTAAAATCAAGGCTCATATTTTACACTAAGCAAAATAACTGGCACACATTGCATGCTTAGTAAATATTTGCTGAAGTGAACTAAATTTTAAAAATTATATTGGTGTGAGCCCAACTAATGACACAGTCTTATTATTAACAACATAATCCACATTAATATTTATTTATATCTCTCTTTATAGTAGCTAAAATTACATTTATTTATGCTTTTGAATCAGGTAAACCATAATTATTTAACTAAGTTAATTTTATTAGCAATTAATTAAGTTGCAAATACAACCAGGTTCCGTTGGTGGAAAATAATATTGTTGGAACACTAAATATGGTGTATGAACATGTTGGACATGCACACCAAATTGCTTAGGGTGTACAGATTCCTAAACAGTCTGAACAAAATTCCTTGGAGATAATGTTTTAAAATTTTAATATAGAACAAATGTCACTGTCTAGCAATTTAAAGATATAAGGGACTTCAGAGTTCAATAACAAATACAGAGTTGTTATTTGAAACAAAAATGTGGCTCCTGAGAACAATCAGTTCAGTTTTCTAACAGCAGTTATAGTATGTGGTCATAACCATTTTTCCCCCTTTTACAGAGGTCTCTAGGTGCACATTTTTAATGTATCCTAGCAGTTTCCAGTTAATGTTTTGTATTTCTGTAGCTATTATTTTCTGTTGAAAGAAAACTAGTAAAGGTTGAGTCTAGAAAGGGAAAACAAAGAAAGAAGATCAATATTAACACTCTACAAATATTGACTTAGCAAAGTGACTTTGCTAAGAGAATGTTGTCATTCTCTCATAGGAATTGAAATTGAATGAATGATTTATTTATAAGAAACATATGGTAAATATTTGTTAAACAAAACAAAAAATTTGCTTGCCAAAGTATATAATTCAATAATCTACTCAAGTTATAAAACTTCAGTGTTACCATTTTCAAATTGAAGATCTTATAATAATATTTATCATTTTTAATTTAAAAGTATTACACTAGCTTACAGGTAGAAATTCCACAGAAAAACCTCGAATTTACTTTGTAAACTTTACTGGTTTCCTGTAGACACTGCAAAGTTATTAATAAACTTAATGTCAAATTTTTTTTTTCAGAAAAAGTCATGTCTGTTAACTTAAAATACTATACCTTTATTAAGTTTGGCTCCTTTAACTTTGAGTTTTGGTTACTATTAACACCCATGGTGATTGTGAAGGATAGAGATGCTTTGAATTTCCTAGTTGCAGACAGTAAAGAACTCCTGCTGTCACCTGCAATAAGTAATAATTATTTGGTCTCACATTATGAAAAGTTGTCAATAGAAGTTTTTTCCAAACACAGTGTAGTACAAAAGATCTATTGTATTACTTTGACTCTCTTTGTTCTCACTATTGAAATAAAGTCAGAAGTTTTATATTTATCAGGCTTTAATGGTCCCTAATTTATAGGCTACTAATAAGAATCCTTATTTCAATATGTCACCTTTCAGTCGGAAATTTTAGTTTTAATAAAAGATAATGAGCATAGCTAAGTCAAGTTCCATAATAAAATTTTACTTCGATAGATTTTTACAGCTAAGAGAGTTTAGAAATGGTAGCTAACAAAAGTTAGATTCTAATTTGTTTTATCACTAATACGCTAAAATAGAAGGAAAAATTTATCTGAATATGACCATTTCTAATCAAGAAATTCTTAGTGTTAAAAGTAAATACCTTTATTTGAGAATGTTTTCTGATCAGTTTTTCTTATGATACTAGGTGATGGTTTTCGTACTGGTGATGGGTCCCTTTCAGAGAACCCTTCGATATGGTTTCCAAATTGGTGACGTCTCAATTTACTGTCAACCTCCAGTTTTTCTAGTGTAGTCTTGAGACACTGCTCGTTGGTTGTCATATATAATTTACAAAACTAGAGGAAATAGAAGTCCAGTGGGTAAAACTTTCAATCTTACATTGGGGAGGAGGAGAAGGCAAATGCACATTAGTAGGCAAGGAATAGACTGATAGACGGAATATATTTCCTATTTATGGTTACGCATTTTATTTTCTTGAATCAGATTGACCAGCCTCAAGTGACCTAGTGAAATGTAGCCGTGATTCAATGAGGAGGTCATACTCTGAGTGAAAATAAAATGTTACACAAGGAGAGGTGATTTATTATTTTTTTATAAGGTGTGTAGACTTGCATTTGTTCAAAATAATTTTTATGATTCTTCCACCCCAGGAAAGGTAATTTCTGAGCACAGTCTCTATGTTAGTGTGCACATCTGTCTGTGTGTATGAGCACATGTGTTTTTTAACTTAGTTATATTATTTTTAATGTAGTCATCAGATTATAATTGTGGAACTGGAGAAATTAAATTTCATGCCCAACATTTAAGGATATCATTCCCAATATTAAAAAGATGTATCACTTTAAAAATAATTTTCTGACATGTTACTTAGTTGACATGTTAATTGATTTAATCACTTCACAATGTATACATATATCAAAACACTGCATGTATACTGTAAATATATATAATTTTTGTCAATTGTACCTTAATAAAGCTGGGGAAAAATAAAAACACTTTTCCTACACAGTATGTAAATTTACATCACCATGAGCTTATGTACCTTGATGTAGTCAAATTTGCCATCAGCATTTACATCAACCAAATTTATTATGGCATTTACTTCTTCTCGAGTCATCTTCTCACCTCTCTGGAAAAAAAAAACCAAGATTTTAAAGCAACATGATTACTACTTTGTTATTCATGGGGATAGTAGAAGCACATTTTAATCTTTTCCACAAGTAAGTATGAATGTATGGTTTCATTATAAATTATGAGCATTATAAATAAAGAATGAGTGGCTATATAAAATTTTACAATTTTATTAAATTTTGTGAAAGTGTGCTGAATTTCAGTTTACTAAATTCTAACAACCGAGTATTATAGAGTCAGTTATAACTGCTATTGAATTTAGGGAATGATATTTTCTGACATTGTACCAAAAAACAGAATGGATTCCTAATCCCATTTATACTTGGTTTTCCTTTTACTTATCAGATATGGAACTACCACTGATTTTCAAAAAATTCTGGGCGGGAATGAATTGCACAGGAGCACAAGGGGACTGTACCATAAGCTGAATTTTATACTTTATCTTTTATTTACAAAGAACCTTTCATCCAGAAGGATCCCTAAGTACTTTATAAATAACATGTAAGTAATTTATTTCACCTCTCAATGAAATAGTTCTTTTTAACGTGGACTTTGGCAGTCAAAGCTAGATTCCGAGCTGTTTTACAAAATATATATATTACAAATTTTACGGATCTTACCTTTGTTAGAAATTTATACAGGTCAGCGTGTAAAATACAGCCATCATCATTTATATCTAATTGTTTAAATGATTTTAGTAGTTCTACTTTTGAAGTAGGTTTTTCCTTCCTTAAAATTATGCAAAAATCATCAAAATTCAGTTTGGCAGTTTGAGGAGTCCAATACTTATTAATGGTCTTTTGGGATGGATTTCTTCCTGCATGCTGGAGAGCTGTCCAACAAGACAAGTATTATTTGTGACTGTAACACTTGGAATTTATATTTAAGTATATTTTTTCTTCAAATCACTATGTATTATGATATTTAAAAAACACTATACATATACCAATCCATTACTTTTGGTGTTGATTTATCTAGTGATACCAAGATATGCTTGACTTTGAAAAACGAAAATATTTATGCCACCACCTAAAGATTCTTTAATTATTAATTCTAGAATTAAATAGATTTTTCTTATTCTGGCAGTTTGGTTCTCACCTACATGGTTTAAATAACTGATAATATCTGATTACTTAACAGCTTTTAGAGGAAATAAGAGATTAAAAGCAAACATCCACTTAATTGTTGGGGCGGACAAAAGGATAACATGAAAAGTATAAATTAGTACTTTTTCTGGCTAAACAAATACCTTAATGACCATAGAGAAGAAGGAAATCCTGTTATTTGCAACAACATAGATGAACCTGGAAGACAACACGTTAAGTGAAATAACCTAGAGAGACTGAAAGACAAATACAGCATATCTCACTCATGTGGAATCTTAAAAAAAAAAAAAGTTAATATAATAGAAGCAGAGAATAGAACAGTGGTTACTAGAGACTGGGAAGGGGAACTCTAAGTACTACCTAAGTACTCTGGGGGTAGGGGAGGATGAAGAGAGGCGGGTCAATGGGTACAAAGTTACAATCAGATAGTGGGAAATAAGTTCTGGTATTCTATTGCATAGAATGGTGACTATAGTTAACATTAAGGTACTGTATATTACAAAATAGCTAGAAGAGAGGCTTTTGAATGGTCTCACCACAAAGAAAAGATAAATGCATGCAGCTACAGATATACTAACTACCTTGATTTGATCATTATACAACGTACATACATATCGAAATGTCAGATTGTAACCCATAAATACATAAATTGCAATGTGTGGAATTTAAAAAACAAATATCTTAATGAAATGAGAAAATCACTGGCCAGGCACGGTGGCTCACGCCTGTAATCCCAGCACTTTGGCAGGCCGAGGCGGGTGGTAGATCACGAGGTCAAGAGATTGAGACCATCCTGGTGAACATGGTGAAACCCCGTCTCTACTAAAAATACAAAAAATTAGCTGGGCATGGTGGCGCGTGCCTGTAATCCCAGCTACTCGGGAGGCTGAGGCAGGAGAATTGCCTGAACCCAGGAGGCGGAGGTTGCGGTGAGCCGACATCGCACCATTGCACTCCAGCCTGGGTAACAAAAGCGAAACTCCGTCTCAAAAAAAAAAAAAAGAATATGACTCTCAACGAGGCATGATATCTAAAATGTTCATCATTGCTAGGTACTAAGCTTTCAAAAACATTAATCATGTTCCGAATGTCAAATATATGCAGATAAAGTATGCCTTTGCAGTTACGGTCCTGCTAAATATCAACAGTGTCAACATACTATGAGAGAAGATTGTTATAGAGATGCTATAGTCAAACTACTCTTCATTTTTAACCACATCCTTATATCTATAAACAGCAAAGAAGTGCATGTGAGGAAACCTTTGTATGTTTACGTATGTCATATCACACTAAAATATAATGGTTAAAGCAACTGCAGATATTTTGAACAGCTGAATATAAGTAATTTGGTAATTTGCAAATAAATCTCTGCACGCTGAAATATAACATTTTCTAAAATGAACCAGTGATAAATTTCCTAAGCATTACAGAAGGAATTAACAGAATTTTAAAAGGTATAATTGTCCTGACAAATTCTATGATAAAATCTCATATTGGATAGTTCCAACTGTCTTTATAGGAATTCACAAGATCTGTGCATCAACAATCAGCATCAAAAAAGGATAATCTGGATATTCTATAATTTAATGTAAGAAGTACCAATAAACATAAAACAATTTAACTAAAGAAATAACCTCATGGAAATAGAAACCAGATCAGAGTAATAAATATAGATGTAAGTGAGTCAGTTCTATTGAACATTACTGTGCACAAGTATAGTATAGGGTGATTTTTGTTCATCAATACAAACTTTTAGTTCCAAAGAAATTTTATAATCTAGGCTGGGCGTGGTGGCTCACACCTATAATCCCAGCACTTTGGGAGGCCGAGGCAGGGAGATCACCTGAGGTCAGGAGTTTGAGACCAGCCTGGCCAACGTGGTGAAACACTATCGCTACTAAAAATACAGAAATTAGGCAGATCTGGTGGTATGCACCTGTAATCCTAGCTACTCAGGAGGCTGAGGCAGGAGAATCACTTGAACCAGGGGAGGCAGAGATCGCAGTGAGCTATCTTGTCACTGCGTTCCATCCTGGGTAAAAGAGCAAGACTCCATCTCAAAAAAAGAAATTTTATAATCTAAACAGGAAGTCTACATCCAAGTGTAAAATTGCTATCAACAGCCATAACTTAAGGGTAATAACATATTAGAAATCCATAAATAAAATTCTGTCATCCTCTAGATTATGCTAGTGACTTTTAGAGCTAACAGAAGTTGTAGCTGTGGTAACTGCCATCTTCCGTACACCTATAAAAGCTTTGCAGAAATTCATTGTATTGGAAATTAATATAAATAGTTTTATTTCCACAGTTTCATTTTGGATGTAGACAAAAGCCTTGATTTCCATGTTGCCCTAGCAACAACATATATGTAAGTATTTTGTCTAATGTGTAAATGAACCATTCCTTAATTCAAATTTTCACAGAATCAAAGAAATGGTATATGAGTTTTAGGATTCCAACCCCAGCCAACTCCCACCCTTTAAAAGATGGGAATACAAATAGATGTAAATGAAGTTGTAAATGTTTTTGCCTCTAAAATATTTTTATTTTAAAAAGACTTAGTATGCAAAGATGTTCATCATACCGCTATACTACTGCTACTAATAATAAAGGAAACAATGTTAAAACAATCAAGGAGTGATTAACTGAATCACAAGGAGTGATTAACTGAATCATGGTACATATACAGAATGCACTTACACAACTATTAAGTTATTTTTATAACAATGAATATCATATAAAATTTTCTGCAAAATTTCTTCCTTATTGTTAAGCCTAAAGTGCCTTTTTTCTAAGTTTCTTTTTTTTTTAATCTTTAATTTTTGGAGGCACATAGTAGGTGTATAATATGAGGTATTTTGATGCAGTATGAAATAATTACGTCAGGCTAAATATGGTATCCATTGCCTCAAGCATTAATCTTTTGTTTCAAACAATCCAATTATACTCCAATTATTTTAAATGTATACAAATAACTTTTTTACTACTGTCACCCTGTTATACTAGCTAATACTAGGTCTTACTGTTTCTATTTTATCCCCTTTCCTTCTCCCCACACCCCCACTACCCTTCTAAAGCTCTGATAACCATCATTTCACTCTGTCTCCATGAGTTCAATTATTTTAATTTTTTAGCTCCCACAGATAAGAAAGAACATGTGATGTTTGCCTTTCTGTGCCGAGCTTATTTCACTTAATATAATGACCTCCATTTCTTTCTTTCTTTCTTTTTTTTTTTTTTTTTTGAGACGGAGTTTTGCTCTTGTTATCCAGGCTAGAGTGCAATGGCGCGATGTCGGCTCACCGCAACCTCCGCCTCCTGGGTTCAGGCAATTCTTCTGCCTCAGCCTCCTGAGTAGCTGAGATTACAGGCACGCACCACCATGCCCAGCTAATTTTTTTTTCTTTTTAGTAGAGACAGGGTTTCGCCATGTTGACCAGGATGGTCTCGATCTCTTGACCTCGTGATCCACCCGCCTTGGCCTCCCAAAGTGTTGGGATTACAGGCTTGAGCCACCGCGCCCGGCCGATGACCTCCAAATTTCTATCCATGTTGGATCTCATTCTTTTATCTTTTTTTTTTCCTGACAACTTCATAACATTCTTGGAGTAGGATCTCATTCTTTTTTTTATAGCTGAATAGTGCTTCACTGTGTATATGTACCACATTTTCTTTTCTTCAGAGTCTCACTCTGCCGCTCAGGCTGGAGTGCAGTGGCACAATCTCGGCTCACTACAATCTCCGCCTGCCAGATTCAAGCGATTTTCCAGCCTCAACCTCCTGAGTAGCTGGGACTACAGGCGCGTGCCACCCCACGCCCGGCTAATTTTTTGTATTTTTAGTAGAGACGGGGTTTCACCATGTTAGCCAGGATGGTCTCTATCTCCTGACCTCATGATCCGCCTGGTTTGCCCTCCCAAAGTGCTGGGATTACAGGCATGAGTCACCGCGTTCGGCTCACATTTCCTTTATCCATTCATCTGCTGATGGACTTTTACTGCTTCCAAATTTTGGCTATTGTGAAAAGTGCTGCAGTAAACATGGGAATGCAGCTATCTCTTCACTATCCTGATTTCCTTTCTTTTGGATATATATCAAGTAGTAGGATTGCTAGATCATATGGTAGCTGTATTTTTAGTTTTTTGAGGAACCTCCAAACTGTTCTCCGTAGTGGTTGCACTAATTTACATTCGCACCAATAGTGTATGAGGGTTCCCTTTTCTCCACATCCTTACCAGCATTCGAAGCTGTAATTTGAAGGTCAAAAGTCCACATGAAAGAAAATTATATTTTCTGTCCAGTTTTGAGAAAAAGGGTATGTAACTTTTTCTCACAAGTGGCAGCTTAGTATGTGCTTGCTGCTATCTTTAGTAACAAAGAAAATACTGTTTTAAAAAATGTACTGGTAATTAGAAAAGAACAATTTTCTCAGAATAAAATGAATTATGCCAAAACACATACTCAGTTAAGTAGATATCCCCATATCTAAGAAATTGATACAATCTATTTCCTACTGAATTTAATCTCCAGGTTTAGAATTAGTTGGATCTAATTATTGAGTTTGATGACAGTAAAAATATTATGTAGCTGTAGATGTTTAAATTTTGACACCATGACATGGATCTTTTTGCCAGGGTTTACTTTTAAAGTTCTGACATGAGTCTATAATGCCTGTATTATTTATAAATTGACAAAAAAGGAAGTCAGAGCTATGGTAATGCTACTGCTCTATCCGACCTTAAAATGAAAATGCACATGTTATATGTATAAGTGGCAGAAGGATATAGATGAAAGACATAGCAATAAGAAACAGCTCTGGTTCATATTACTCCTTTTTAAAAAATAGGTTATCTAAAAATCAATTATTAAAATGTTAACAGAGTATTCCACCCTAAAACCAAAAGTGTATATAACACTGAAGAGATAAACACTGCATTGTTATCCTACCAGATAATTTCATAAGATTGAATAGCACCTTTACATACACACTGATTCACAAACTAAATGTCATAGTAGTGGAAGGCATGTTAAACTTTTAAACTTACCAGATTCCTGATCTTAGTATATTTTCAAAACAGTAACAACAAAAAAAACCCTCAGATATTTTAGAAATAATGGCAAATTAGAATAATTTTAATTTATTGGCTGGGCATGGTAGGTGGCTCACGCCTGTAATCCCAGCACTTTGGGAGGCCGAGGTGGGCAGATCACCTGAGGTCAGGACCTTGAGACTAGCCTGGCCAACATGGTAAAACCCCATCTCGCTAGTAAAAATACAAAAATTAGCCAGGCGTGGTGGCGTGTGCCTGTAATCCCAGCTACCCAGGAGGCTGAGGCAGAAGCAGGAGAATCGCTGGAACCCAGGAGGCAGAGGCTGCAGTGAGCCAAGATTGTGCCACTGCACTCCAGCCTGAGCAACAGAGCAAGACTCTGTCTCAAAAAAAAAAATTTATTGATGTCTGCCTAAACATTTAATGTATATGAATTAAACGCAAATACTTAAAACTCAAAATAGAACATTTTAGTAATTTTTAAATTATGTAAATTAAAATCAAACATGACTTTAAAAGTCAGTCATGTGCATTTGCATTTAAACTATTTTACAAATAATGTCTTTTATTTAGACATCAAATAAATGTTAATCTTGTCAATTCTAATATTCCTCAAAATACATTTCCTCAAATAGAGATCTTATTGCATACAAACTCAAGACACTGCTGCAAAAATACGTCAGGGTTTTGGTTTAAGAAAATTCATTCTAAAATTGGCAAAATAACTGTTTCTCTACCCATAATGTTATTAGCCTTGATGAAACTGACATGAGTAGTCAGTGTTATCTAGTACTGCTATTTACTACTCTCTCATGACTAAAGACCTCCAAGTCATTTAATACTTCTGGCAAGGACCAAATTTGGTGGTTTTGGGGACCTTGGTAATGAGAGGAATTTTTAAATATAATAAAGGATAGGAGCAATAAAAGACAAAATAAAAAACCCCAAACTCAATTCTCTTTTAAAAGTTTACTTATCTCTCAATACGTCACTTTTTCAGACATTCAACCCATTTTTACATATCCTTTATATTTTCCTCCAATTCATAGTAGTGACTTAGAGGTCAAATGTATTTTAATTTTATTATGATAAATCTTAAAGCACCAAAATGAGAATTAAAAATATCTTAAGCAAGTAGTAATTGACAGAAGCTTTCAATTACCCATCTAGTTGGTATAAACATTGAAAGTTTTATTTTGAAGTTCCTAGAACATGTAACTATATAAAATGACATAATAGCTTACTGTAGTTCCATTGCTCAAGCTTCACTAAGAAATTGTGATGATTCAACAAGATAATTCTAATTTTAGTCTTTCTGACCTAATAAAAAGGCAAAAGATTTAAAATTTTAAAAAATTTACCTAAGTAAAGTTGATCTTTAGAAACAATGTTTTCCAAGCTGCTTTTGAACACAGTTAAGTAGGCAGCTCTACAATTCATATAAAATATTTCCTCTTCAGTTCGTGGAAATTTCTTTGTTTGAGGACTTTCTGAAGGTGTTGATTTCTGACTGGAGAAAGAAGCATCGCTTCCTGGACTGATTGCCATTCTATTGGAAAATAATTTAAAAATTTGTCAATGTGAATCACTAAAATGCAAATGTCACCATGTCTTTTAAATATAGGGAGAAGAATCAAGATTTCATATGTAGAAGAAAAAGATGAAAATTTATAACATACATATAAAAAATCAAGATATTAAAAGTTTTATATGTGGAAGAAAAAGATGATTATAGTTTGTATATGGATGTATTATCATATATTAAACAAGAATAAGCCCTGCCAGTTGATTTATAATTTTATATATATACATATGTATATATATAATTGTTCAAGTATGTGATAATTGCCAAAAGAACAAAGACATAACAAAGAAGAATCAAATAAAGACATACAAAAGAAGAATCACTGAACAAAGGAAAAGCACACATCTATTTTCTCAAAATAAGAAAGTCAGATGCGACTCTTCATCAGGTTTTTAAGATAAGCAAATCAGTTAACACATGTGAAGTATACACAATACTGCCTGGCATATAATAAGTGCTAAATAAACTTCAGATAATGGAAAACTCCACAATAATGAGAATTTGGATGTAGAGTGGTAGTTGACATCCATCTTCCACAACACAATCAACAAGATCATTTCATTAACATCTCAATAATGCAGCCCCACATTTCAAATAGCTAAATTTTAAAAGTCCCATTTATAGCATTATCATAATCTTACTGTGTTCCTTTATTAATAACATTTGGGGTTTATATAGCACCTCTGTACATAAGAGCTTAAAGAACTGTCATACATCTTGCCTCATCCCTATTACAGTGGTCAGGTATTTTTCATCCATTTTACAGATGAGGAAATTGAGGGGTAGCAATGTCACCCAGCTAGCAGTAAGTGGCAAAAAGCTGTACATTTCGCTAACAGTTTCTTCTTTGTTAATGTGGATGTAGGTTTACTGAACAATGGTTACTATGGGGTACTAAATTGTACTGGTGGTCTAACAGCTTCCAACATTACTCTACCCAGCTTTGACTTCTAAAAATACACTCCAACATGATAAATTGAACATTTCAAGTTCAACAATAAGATGACACAGATAGGGTCCCCTTCAGGACTCATTGGATTTCTACTCAGGAGGCCTAAATCACTTGTACCTTTTTGAATTATATAGATCTTTTACACTTGGGAAAGAAAGATAATAATCGGTTATCATGGATGAAGTACCCTATTTATAATACACAGGCCGCCTGCCTGACACTTTCATATTACACCAGATTTAGAAGGACCCCACAGGGATGCGGTGTCACAGTCTGGTTACTGCACATTGGTATTACTATAATTAAGCATCAGAGTTTTAAACACATATGCGTGCATGCATCTCCTCACAAATGTGAAAGAAAACTGTTTTAAGAAGGGAGAATAAATTTCACTTTGCAATAAGCAATTTTTAAATGTAAGTAATTTTTAGGATCGTCTTCAAATATTCTTTCCAAATAAGGCAACTCCCTCACGTGGAAATCCCAACGCAGAAATATGCCAGAATTTTATTCTTTTCCTTTCTCTAACGAGAGACCAAACTGAAGCTTAAATAAACATATAATTGCACCCCCCCAGGCTTGGAAACCTCCTTTATTTAAAACTCCAGCCCGACACTGAGACAGGGGCCTAGAGAGTACACTGCAGCAAACGGCTTCATAAATAACCAGCCACACAACAGCAAGAAAAATAAACGGTTCGCAAGCGCCTAAGGCTTCTACAGAGCCAAGTGAAAACAGAAAGCCATCCCATCACCGTCCCTACACAGTGAAATACCTTTGCAGGTAATCTCGGTACCATCTCTCTATTTTTGTATTCCTCTGGAAATAAAACCGCATTTATATGTACATTTTAGGTACATACATGGACCAAATGTTTATTACAGAGAAGAAAACAAAGCAGGCGAAGGAGAAGCAGCCGCACAGAGAGGGACAAAAGGAGTGAAGAGACAGAGACAGCGAGCTGTTTGCTACCTAATTCCAGCTCACAAACGAAGAAACACAGCCAATTCCCTTCCGTGATTCCGCGATCCTCTCACCGCAGCTGGACAATCTCGACCTTTCTTTAATCACCATGGCAACTGCACCTCACCGCCACCGGAAATAAGATGCAGAGCCCTTCCGCAAACGGTCCGGCTAGAAATCTACGAAGCGCTGATCAGGGCGAACAGAGACAACTGTGTTGCTCTTCTATCGCGGGGGTGGCATAGCAAGAGTAGTGAGAGAGGGTGCTCTGTTACACCCATTAGGAACTGGATGCTGTCCTGGGCCTAGACTTCCCGCCTGCTCCTTTGCTCGCGCACACCCGGATCCTTTGTCGCGGGGAGGGTGATTCCGCCGGGCCGCGGTGGGCGTGACACAGCGTCCAGCGCGCGCTTTTCATGCCTCTGGCGTTTCCTTTGGCGGATTTTCTGTTCTCAGAAGTTGTTGGGTTCGTTTATTCAGCGGCAGTAGTGCTTCCCCGAATCTCAGAATGCCGTAGGTATCTCCTTCCCAGGTATTGTTGTTTTGGGGTCCCCTCTGCAAGAAGATTAGATATTATGTGGCCCAATAGCCTTTCTTGTTTTCCTGTTTTTTTGGAGTATAAACTTGTCTCCTCTGTTGACCGACGGTTCCCTTGTTTGGGACCCCCAACTCCACTCTACTTCCCCTCCAGGCGTACTCATGCAATAGTCCTCCTTCACTTTCTTTACTACAATACTTTTAACAGATTTTGTAAACCTTCGGCTGTATTTAGGTGATGTCTAACTTGAAACAACATAAATAAGGTTAACACACAGAGGATGGGACATCGTAGATGAAAACACGCCTTCGTAGTTTGTCAATCTCTTGCCTTGTTTAACGGGGCGCGTTCATGTAAACTCGTGGAAGAACTCATGGACTGGGTTTAGATACCTGGATTCCAGTTACTGTTGGACAAGTCACTTATCGACTCTGGGCTTCAGTTTTCTTACTTATACAAATAAGTTTGTACTGCATGATTAAATTTCCATCCATCGCCAATAATCTGATTATTGAGAATGAACATAGTGGGAATAGGCATTGTGCTAGATAATATTTATTTGGTTTTCCTGTCCTTCATCCATCCTATATGGAGATGCATAAAATAGTTACTACCCTATAGAAACTTAAAATCATTAAATAATTTGGCGGGGGGCGGAAGTGGAATGGAGTGGAGTAAACCTGTAATTTATCCCTGGCTGCCCTTGTCCTCAGGCTGATTTAGGTACTCCCTCTAGTGTAACCTATTCCTTAGTTTATTTCAGGATTAAGTAAAATGCAAATTAACACAGCTAGGGAAATATTTGTATAAAATAGGAATTGACATGAAAGTGGAAAGCTGTACAGAAATGATAACCTATATTTATTGAATCTTGAATTACAATGTAGGTGCTGTGTTAAGCAGTTTATCTACGTTTTTTCATTGAATCCTAAAAGACTAGGCAAGAGGGGCTGCTATTAGCTTTACAGATAAATCCATCACTTAATATGGCGTTCAACATAATTACCAATAAATGCATGTTTTACTGATGCCCTTAAAGGTTATGGATTATTGAGGAGGTTTTCCTTTCCCTAGAATTAAGCAAAGAGACTTGTCTCCCTACTGTTGCATTAGAAAAATCATCTAGTTCTCTCTCTCTCTCTCTCTCTCTCTCTCTCTCTCTCTCTCTCTCTCTCTCTCCCTCTCCTCTCTCTCTCTCTCTCTCTCTCTCTCTCTCTCTCTCTCTCTCTCTCTCTCTCTCTCTCCTTCTCTAAGAATACAATGGAAACAAACCTGTATTTGCCAAACAAATGGTAATACCTCTGAACTGTATATAGGAGAATGGGGAAACCAAAAAGCCGTGAAAAGTGGAACTTTTTTTGAGACGGAGTCTCACTCTTGCCCAGGCTGGAGTGCAGTGGCACGATCTCGGCTCACTGCAACCTCTGCTCCCCCAGGTTCAAGCGATTCTCCTGCCTCAGCCTCTGAGTAGCTGGGATTACAGGCACCTGCCACTGCACCCAGCTCATTTTTGTGTTTTTAGTGGAGTTGGGTTTCACAATCTTGGTCAGGCTGGTGTTGAACTCCTGACCTTGTGATCCACCTGCCTTGGCCTCCCAAAGTGCTGAGATTACAGGTGTGAGCCACCATGGCCAGCCAGTGAATTCATTTTTAAGTGATGTTGAAATTGTGACTATTGGTATGTACTTGGAAGACTAAATGTGTAATAGTCTTATAGGAGGGTGTGATCTGTCTTTGTTCTAATTTCTTAGAACCTTGAGAGGAAAAAACTTCAGAAATGAGTAGCCGTGGAAATATATATGGTCCAAATAGATCTAAAATAAATAAGAATCAGCAAATATTCCATGACAATAGAGTGGATGGATGAATCTTAACATAATGAGAAGAACCAATTTGTGTAAGACTACATCTGTTATCCTTATAAGGCTTAAGAACAAGCAAAAATAAGCTATTTATGGTTATGTATGTATATGATAAGATTATTGTTGAAAGGCAGAGAAATGATAAATACAAAATTCAGTTTAATAGATGCCTTTTGGGGGAAGCAAATAGATGCATGTATACCCAATCGTACTGGTAATGAACTAGTTCTTAAATTGTGTGGTGAGTTTATGGGTGCTTATTTTCTTATGTTTTATAACTTGCACAGCTTACATTTACTTACTACTATGCATCATGTACTACTTAAAATGTTTTTTTAAAAGAATTTAGAGATTACCTATATTAAGTCCTCACAAGTGTAGCTTTCTGTGCCTTCTCTTTGATCCTTTGGAGGAAACAGATGAATTAGATAAATACTGCTGTTGATTTCATTAGGCTAATCATTTTCTCATCCAATCTTGTTCCTCTTTCTGTGTACATTATAAAATTAGTGGCACAGTCATTTCTCTGTGTTGAAACCTTCACTTTTTAAAGAGTTGAAGTGGAAAAATCATAGACTTTGGAGTAAGACAAACCAGGATTTGAATCTTGAGTTTGTTAACCAGCTGTGTGCTACTCAGTGTCATTGATAAAATAGTTGCTCAATAAATATTTATTAACTGAATGATAAAGTTGCTACTTTGAAAAGATTTCATTCTATATAGACAGATTTCACACCATGTTTATATTTGCAAAACACTGAAGTCAAACATGCCTTTTTAGTAGCTCTTGCTATAAGTAATCAAATATTCTAGAATTTTTTCTTCTTCTACCTTTTCCTTTATAAAGCTTCCTTTAAAAAGTACCATTTGCTTAGTCTTTCTAATTAGTGTACATCATCATGCTGGTTCAGCCAAGGATACTCTCTATGAGAGTTAACTTTATTCTGTTCCAAGCTATGACTGAACTAAAGCTATAAATTTGGAATGGCATTAGTGTTGTAGAAAACTATTCACAACAGTAATAGAGTGAGGTCCCTTCTGCTGATGTATTTATAAAGTGAGAGTTTTCTGAGAGACCTTTAAAATATACTATATTTTCCAAGATAAGGGAAAATAAATATAAGCATATTCTGGATTTGCTAAGCTACTGCATTGTGCCTATATGCCGTAATCATGCTAATGCTGGGTACAGTGATTTTTATTTTATGGATTGCTTATAAAGAAACAAGTGGGTGAAATGTTATGTCAGGCCAAGTAAAAGTTAACCATTAAATACACATCCTTTGAATTATAGTAGATATTCAAAGTTATGTAATTTCTTTTATAAATAATGTGTCCTGCATTTTAAAAGAAGATTGATGAAATTGTTAGTATTTGACGTGAGAAAAATGTGAAATGTAAATGCAATTCTTTCCTGCTTGTAAAAGTCAGTAAAGTCTAAGAGAGGAAGGTATAACAGAGCCTTTTTGGCTGAGCATGGTGGCTCTCACCTGTTTATTTAACTTACAGTTTTTTGACTTCATAATAGTGCGAAAGCAATATGCATTCAGTAGAAACTGTACTTCAAGTGCCCGTACAACCATTCTGTTCTTTACCTTCAGTATAGTATTCAATAGATTACCTGAGATATTCAACACCTTATTTTAAAAGTGATTTTGGGTTAGATGATTTACACAACTGTAAGTTAATTTAAGAGTTCTCAGCACATTTAAACTATAAAGTTCAGTAGGTTAAATGTGTGAAATGCATTTTCAACTGTTTTCAATTTACAATGGGTTTGTTGTAACATAATCCTGTTGTAAGTCAAGGAGCATCTATATATTTTTTTGCCTGCAACTTCTTAAAAAGGCAGAAATGTTTAAAGCAAAAATTAAACACTATTATGGGATTATATGTACATATATATGTACGATGCCAGTGGCGCAAAGCACAGAGGGAGTTGACTATAATGTTATAAGAGTCTTACGTTTTTCCTGAAGTAGTACTGTATTATAACTCTAGATAGACTATGATATGTTTAAAAGGCATATTGTAATCCCCAGAGTAACCTCTGAAAATATGAAGAGGCTTACCTAAAAAACAAATAGAGGAATTGAAATGGTATATTTTAAAATACTGTTAATTCAAAAGAAGGCAGGTAAAAAAGAACAAAGAAACAAAAAAAAACAGATGGGACAAATAGAAAACAACTATCTAAATGGTAGACTCAGCCAGATAATTACATCAAGTTTAAGTGCAGTAAAGATGTCAATGAAAAAGGTAGAGAATGTTATCAGGCTAGATTTTTTTTTTTTTTTTTTTTAAAGCAAGTCCTAACTCTTTACTGTCTATAAGCAACAAACTTGAAAGTTAAAAGTTGAGGGAAGATAGTCTAATAGGAGAGAAAACAAATGATCAATATCCAGAATGAAAGGGCAAATTGTACTTAGACAAAAGAGAACACGAACTATCAATATCCAAAATGAATGAGCAGAACTTAGCACTAAAGATACTATAGATATTAAAAGAGATAATATCATTAAAGCCTTTATTCCAGTAAACTTGGGAACTTATACAAAATTGACAAATTCTTTGAAAAATACAATTTAGCACAATGGCATAAGATGTAATAGAAAATCTGCATAATTAAGAAAATAGAAGTTTTTACTAAGAAGCTTCCCACAAAGACCCAGACAGTTTCATTGGTTAATTGTAACAAGAACACACCCATTCATGAGAAAATAAAACCCTCCACAAACTAAGAATTGGAGGGAACTTCTCATTTCTTTGAAAAACCTATAGATAATATATTTAGTATTGAACACTTTTTCTAAGATTAGGTACAAGGCAAGAATGTGCCCTCTCATCACTTTTATTCAACTAAGGACACACATAAAAATACCAACAAATGTTAAAAAGGAAAAAGTAGGGCCAGGCCAGGTGGCTTATGCCTGTAATCCCATCGCTTTGGGAGGTGGAGACAGGTAGATTGCTTGAGCCCAGTAGTTCAAGACTAGCCTGGGCAACATGGCAAAACCTGTCTCTACAAAAAAATATAAAAATTAACCAGGTGTGATGGTACATGCCCATAGTCCCAGCTACTTGGGAGTCTGAGGCAGATGGATCACTTGAGCTGAGGAGGTCAAGGCTGCAGTCACTTGCAGTCCAGTCTGGATGACCCTGTCTCAAAACACACAAAAACAACAACAAAGAAAGGGAAAAAGTAAAATTAATGATTCAACAATGATATCATATTTGAAGAAAATTCTAAAAAGTCTACAAAACAATTTTTAGAACTATTTAGCATGGATATAGGACACAAAATCAGTGAATAAAGATCAACATATTTCTATATTTGAGCAATAAACACCTAGAGATTAAAGTTTAATATTTTTCATTTATGATTACATAAAAATGCATGTAATAATTTAGCTTAAGACATACAAGACCTCTACACTGAAAATTACAAAATGTTTCTTAGAGAAATTAAAGATGAAGATAAATAAGAGTATTAGTAAATGATAAATGAGATATTATTAAAGTGTTAGTTCTCACCAATGTTTAGATTTAATGCGGTCCTTGTCATAATTCTAACAAACATTTCTTTTTAATTTTTGCTTTTTTTATTTTTACTTTTTAAAATGGATCTTTTAAAAAAAAAGTTCAGTGGATGAAAACTTATAGTATTTGGTATTTATCTTTTCTGCTTTATATTTCATTTTTCATGTAATCTAATTTTTCTTTTTACATTTTTGGGGATGATCATTTATACCTAATTTAATTGTCTTTATTTTTTTATTTTTATTTTTCAAGCTGAAGTTTCATTTAAAACTTAAAAGAAATGTTCCCCCAAAATGCTGGTGAATAAAGTAAAAGGATATGATACAGTGCTCTCTTCTTATGTGTTAGCCAGCCTATCCAAAGACAGGGTAATATACAGTACTTAATGCTGGTAGAATTTCACAGTAGTTTAGTGTAAATATTATCTGTGCTGAGATTATGAAGAGATTCTCAGTGTATGATAATTAGCTCTGGGTTTACACCTTACTGGGAATGAACAAGAGCCCCTGCTCCTTAGCCATAGCCAAATCCCTTGGGCCCAAAGTTCTTTTCATAGCATCCTTTATGATAGATTTCACCTTCTTTTTCAGTTAGATTTGCTGATTCAAGACTCTTCCTACACTTTGCACATCGGAAACAGTTTTTGTGCCAGGGCTTTCCAGCTCCAATTATCTTCTCGGCAGTATATACAAAATCCCCACATCTGGAACACGTCTCAGCACCTCCATATTTCTGAGCAAATTTAGAAATGTTTGGATTTGTTGTAGGCCTGTGAGGCTGAACACTCTGGCTTGATGCCCAGCTTCTCGCCACTGTCCATATTAAACGTGCCAGCACCCTGGTCATAACCGTAGCCTTTTGGCCCATACTTATTTCCATAGCAGGATTTGCAATAAATAAATCTCTTCATCGTCAGTTGCCCCTGTTGTGCTATGTAAATTTTTCCTGCAGAGAAAGCAGCAGCGGTGGAAGCTCCTGCGGTCACGCTGGACCTCTTCTGCGTGGTATGTGGTCCTTCCATAGGCCACACACTTGTTTCCACCATCTCAGACGCATATTGAGTCGGAGGCAGGAGCGTGCACTGCAGGCAGAGCCCAGCAAGGCTGGGCTGGAGGGAGGGTCCAAGAGTATATTACAAGAATATATTGCATAATGGTGAAGTGTGGGCTTGTAGGTACCCATCACCCAAATCGTGAACATTGTACCCAATAGATAATTTTTCAGCCCTCACCTTCCTCCCATGTTCCCTCCTTTTGAAGTCTCAGTGTCTATAATTTCCCTCTATGTTCATGTGTACCCGTTGTTTAGCTCTCACTAATAAGAACTAATAAGAACATGTGGTATTTGCTCGCTCACTCTCTCCCTCCTCTCTCTTTTTCTTTCTTCTTTCTCTTTCTCTCTTTTTTCTTTCTTCCTCTCTCCCTCCCTCTTCCTCTCTCTCTCTCTCCCCCTTCCCCCATCCCTCTCCCTCTCCCTCCCTCCCTTTCTCCTTCCTTAAGGTCTTACTCTGCCTCCAAGCTGGACTGCAGTGGCATGAACATGGCTCACTGCAGCTTTGACCTCCTGGGCTCAAGTGATCCTCCTGCCTCAGCCTCCTAAGTAGCTAGGAGGGACTACAGGGCACACCACCACACTGGCCTAATTTTTAAATTTTTTGTAGAGACAAAATCTCACTGTGTTGCCCATGTTGATCTCAAACAATTCTCATGCCTTGGCCTCCCACAATGCTAAGATCACAGATGTGAGCTGTCACACCCAGTTGATACCCTCCCCTCCCCTCTCTTTTTCTCTTTCTTTCTCTCTCTCTCTCTTTCACCCTTTCTTTCATTCTTTCATTCTTGACATGATCTTGCTCTGTCGCCCAGTCTGGAGCACAGTGGTGCAATCTCAGCTCACCACAACCTCCACCTCCCAGGCTCAGGTGATCCTCCTCAGCATCCTGAGCAGCTGAGACCGCAGAGACATGCCACTGTGCCCAGCTTATTTTATGTATTTATTTATTTATTTTAGAGGTGGGGCTTTGCCACATTGTCCAGGCTGGTCTTGAACTTCTGGACTCAAGCAGTCTGCTCAGCACAGCCTCCCAAAGTGTTAGGATTATGGGTGTGAGCCACCATGCCTGCCCTGATTTTCTGTTTTTGGATTATTTCACTTCAGATTATTATTTCCAGCTCCATTCATGTTGCTGCAGAACAACACGATATCATTCTTTTTTTATGGCTGCATGGTGTTCCTTGGTGTATATATACACCACATTTCTTTATCCAGTCATCCATTGATGGACACAGGTTGATTCCTAACTTTACTATTGTGAATAGTGCTGCAATAGATGTACAAGCACATTTTGTTTTTGATGTAATAATGATTTCCTTTGGTAGATACCCAGTAGTGGGATTGCTGGGTTGAATGGTAGTTTTGTTTTTAGTTCTTCAAGCAAGTTTTTTATAGAAATTGAAAACTGATTTCAAAATTTGTATGGAAAGGTAAATGACTTGCAGTAGCCAAAACAATTTTGAAAAAAAAGAATGAAGTTGGAGTATGTACACTAACTAAACTTAGCATAAAGTGTTGGTAATGAAATCAATGTGGTTTGGGCATAAGGAGAAATAGATAAATAGAATAGAAAGTCCAGAAATAGACCCACAAAGGAACCAGAGAAGTTCAGTGGGGAAAAGAGAAAATTTTTCTTCCCAAGTGGTGCTGGAATAGAGGGGGAAACACACACATACACACACACACACACACACACACATCACCTTACACTATGTACAAAAATTAATTTGAGATATATTTTCATCCTAAATGTAAAAAGTAAAATTTCTGGAGGGAAATATATGAGAATATTGTTACAATTTCATGCAAGACACAGAGAGCAAAAACTATAAAATAAAAAAAATGATAAATTACACTTCATCTACCTTTTAAACTTTTGCTCATCAAAAGATACTATTAAAAAAGTAAACTTTCACACAACTGACTGGGAGAAAGCATTTAACAGGCATATATCAGACAGGATTTATATTTAGGATAACAAAGAACTCTTACTACTCAACAGTAGGAAAACAAAAATATTTTTAAAACAATGGCCCAAAGATTTGAACCACTAATTAACAAAAGAAAATACACAAGTGAACAATAGCATGTTGTTAGACATTTTGGCAGTTTCTTATAAAGTTGAATAAATGTGCACCTACCCAATGATCCAGCAGTTCTACTTCTAAATATTTATTTAAGAAAACTGAATGGAATATAGCTAAGGAAAACAAAACAAAACTTGTAAAAGGTTGTTCTTAGAAGCTTTACTCATAATAGCTAAAAACAAACCAAGTGTCTTCAACAGGAAAACATGGTTTATTGCTATGATGGAATATTAATTAAAAACAAATGATCTACTGATGTGCAACAACCAGGGTGAATCTCACAATTATGCTGAGTAGAAAAAATAGACACAAGTACATATTGTATCATTCTAGTTACACGAAATTCTAGAATAGGCAAAAGTAATCTAGAATAGGCAATAGTAAAATGTTGGAAAAAATGAGAAAAGTAGAGTTGTGTATGGTAAAGATGATGAAGTTGGTTTCAGATATTCCATATCTTGTTAAGGATGTGAGTTTCAAGGATATAGTATGTGTTTGCCCAAAAGGCAACTTAGAGAGCAGTGAAATGAAAGAGAAGTTTGGGGATGTGAAATATAGAACAAGAAAGTCTAAAATAATTTCTTAATAAGGTCTCAGAAAGGTAGAATGAAGGAGAGGCAGTATTTGAAGAAATATAGCTCAGTTTTTTTTTTCAGAACTGATAAGACACAAATCAACATAAAAGACTACCTTAGAGATAAGACTGTGCTATATTGTTTGGGACCTTTTTTTTTTTTTTTTTAAACAGGGTTTTGCTCTGTAGCCCAGGCTGGGAGTGCAGTGGCGTAATTATGGCTCAGTGCAGTCTTGACCTCCTGGACTCAAGTGATCTTCCCACCTCATCCTCCCAAGTCATGAGACCACAGGCATGGACCACCACACCTGGCTAATTTGTGGTGGAGTTGGGATCTTCCTATATTGCCCAGGCTGGTCTCGAACTCTTAGTCTCAAGAGATCCACCCACCTCAGCCTCCCAAAATGTTGGGATTACAGGTGAAACCCACTGCGCCAGGCTGTGTATTTAAACCACCTTAAATATGACTGATGGAAATATCTTTAAAAAAAAAAAAGCTCTTATCTAGGAATTTTCAGCCAAAATTATTTAAGTCCACAAAATTGGAGCATCATAGAAAATTGAAGGAACTAAATATATTCTTGAATTTGAGATTGGTATTTCAAACTAAAAAATAAATGCAATTAATTAAATCATTAATTTATATAACCCTTGTATGCCAATCACTGTACCAGGCTTTGGGGATTCAAACATGAATAGATATGTGCTATCTAGGAGTTTTAACTTTAATGGAAGAGGTAGTTCAAGCATTTTTAGAACTCGTAACCTACCAGTTAACAGACATGGTGCTAATGATATAAATATCTTACTCTGGGGAAGAAAAACAAACATAAATAGATTGTTTTAATGCTTAATTTAGGGAGAGGGTCATGCACAAGTGTTGTTGAGTAGAGTTGAAGCTTTCCTAGTGCAAACTGGACAATGTTAGGAGAAACTTCTTAGAGATGATTCTGTTGGAATCTCAAAGGTATGGTAGATATCAGTGTTAGTTTTTTGTTATTATGTTTACTTTGTGAAATAAAATTCATACAGAAAAAAGTCCATCACCATCTGCCATTTTTAATTCTGATAGACCTGTTTTTGAGTCTTTTCAATAGAGACTCTTTCAAAGGACATACTGATGTCCTTTCTTTATATGTATGTATGTGACAATACTTAATAAGAGTATGGTCAGTATTAAAGCATCTAAATGAGTGATTAGTAACAGTATTAGTGATTAATACTGTTATTAATTTGGACACAAGCATAGGCTTGAATGTAAAGCAGAATGCAGAAAGGATAATAGATTCCTCTCCCTTCTTTGCTTATTCCCGTGCATAGAATGGAAAATAAATCATTTTACATACCTCAGTTTACATTTAAGGAGTCACATGGGATGTGAATTTGGCCATTGCCTTTCATCAAAGGATTTCTAAGAATCTCGTAAGTATACTCAGTAATCCTCTAAACACTCTTGTGAAGTTGTAGCTGGCAATATTATCATCTCCAATATAGTGAGGAATAAATGGAACCACTGAAATACTAAGTGATATTTTTATCTTCCACTCAGAAATTTCTTACTACTTTACAGGCCAGTGTTATTATCAACTTTATGAAGCTTAGTGAGATTATGTGATTTGCCCAACCTTGGGGAAGAATTTGGCATAGCATGAAGGCTCCCTGAGTGTTAACTGCTTTACTAAGTTTGTTCTTCACCCCCCATTCCTCCCCTCAGTCCTGCTATTCAAAGTTGTATTTAAACTGATGTTTTAAAAGTTCTATAAGAGAACCTCAAATCATATAATTTTGTGATCTTCTGCTGTGTCATTCCTGGTTTTTGATTAGAATCAAATGATAGGGTTTTTTTTTCCCCTGGAATAATTTCTTTAATCGTGTAACTGGTGTTAGGCAATAACATTGTGTAATGAAACTCATCTACTTGTTCTATTCTGATGAACTAGAGAATTCTGTTCAGAATACTACCATGTGTTAAGCTAAATAGAAAAGAGGAGGACAGTCTTAGAGAATAATGTAATTATACAAAATAGTTATGCTCTCTGTATATAAAATTGCATGTCAGATGTTTTATATCTTTTTAAAATTCTCAACAGCAGCAATTCTGGTAGCAGCCAGAATTTTGATCCCAGTGAATCTAAATCTAGTACACCTGGAAATAGAATATAACTTGTAAATTAGGGGCATAATAGGTGTAAATTTGGGTAAGTTGGAAGTTAGAAGTCACCTACAGAGATTATAAGTTGTTACCTATTAGAGGGTGGTAATTAGGATGCAGTAGGTAGCTATCCTTTTTAAAAATTATTTTTAAATTGTGCTAAGTTATACATAACAAAATTTATTATTTTAATCATTTTTAGGTGTTCAATTAAATGACTTAAGAATGTTTACCTTGTTGTACAACCATCACCACCATTCATCTCTAGAATTTTTTTCATCTTGTAAAACTGAAACTCTCTACCCATTAAACAGTAATTTCCCATTCCTCACTCCCTCTAGCCCCTGGCAACCACCATTCTATTTTTGTCTCTATGAACTTGACTACTCTCCTATGAGTGGAATCATATAATATTTGTCCTTTTGTGACTGGCTTATTTTACTTAGCATAATATCTTCAAAGTTAATCCATGTTGTAGCTTGTGTCAAATTTCCTTTCTTTTTTAAAGTTGAATAATATTTTGTTTTATGTATATATCACATTTTGTTTATCTGTTCATCTGTCAATGGATATTTACATTGCTTTTCTACCTTTTGGCTATTGTGAGCAATGCTGCTATGAACATTGGTGTACAAATACCTGTTTGTGTCCCAGCTTTCGATTATTTTTGGAAGTGGTATTGCGGAATCATATGGTAATTCTATTTTTAATTCTTTGAGGAACTGCCATACTGTTTTCCATAGATACTGAACCATTTTACATTTTCACCAGCAGGCACAGGGATTCTAGTTTCTCTACATCCTCACCAACACTTGTTATTTTCTGTTTTTTTTTTTTAATAGTAGCCATCCTAATAGGTGTGAAGAAATATCTCATTGTGGTTCTGATTTGCATTTTGCTAAATGATTAGAGATGTTGAGCATCTTTTCATGTACTTATTGGTCATTAGTGTATCTCTTTGGAGAAATGTATATTCAAGTCCAATTTTGTGTGCTCACTTTTTAAAACCAAGATAGTAGCCACAGGAGCTGCGTATAACTTTACAGAACTACCAAAAAGATATCACTTTGGTGAGCTAATACTGGTAGCAAAAGAGTAAATATTTTAGGAAAATACTCATATATCTAATCGGATTTTACCTATTCTTCCTTCATATGTTTCATCTGTCTCTATTCCTACTAACAGTTTTCTAATCAATTTATTATATTCTCATTATTGTGTTGTAAAAGAGTGGTTGGCCCAGTTCTAATAGGATGTTAAGAATAGCTGGTCATAAACTCTGTAATGGGTTTGCTCTTCTTTCCCCTTCTTTAATTCCCTTCCCCTCAATTCAATAAAGATTTATTGTGCCCAGGACTTAGGATCTGAGTTTCCCTCCCTCAAAATGTGTGATGGTAGGCAAGTTGCACAAACTATTTTCCCTACTGGCTGAACTAAGTGATTTCTTAGATTTCTACTAGTCTTGTCTATTAGATCTTTTAAGGATTCTTTTGAGTATTATAATTTTTGTTTATTAGATGTGTGAATTTCCTGAATACTACTAAAAATAATATTTTTAGATTCTCACCAAGCATAAAGTGGGAGATGACAGCCTATTTTAACTCAGCTTACTTTCTTATTTATCCTTTTTTATGTATTTCCTTGGGTTTCTTAGATGAACCTGGGACCTAATCTGTAAACTTCTTAAAAACAAACATTTATTTACTTTCTCTAAGAATTAGCCATTGATAATAAAACAATATTTTGAACAGTTAATAGCAGGATGGAATTTGTTTCCTTCTAAAAGATAGTATTGCATTTTAATAGCATTTAGGAACAAAGGATAAGAAATACTGTATTGCTTAACTTTTTTTAACTTCTTTTCTTTTTTAAATTTTTTAAATGAGACAGAGTTTCCCTTTTGTTGCCCACTGTGGAGTACAATGGCATGATTTTGGTTCACTGCAACCTCCACCTCCTGAGTTCAAGCGATTCTCCTGCCTCAGCCTCCAGAGTAGCTGGGATTACACCCCTTGCTAATATTTTGTATTTTTAGTAGAGATGGGGTTTCACCATGTTAGTCATGCTGGTCTCAAACTCCTGACCTCAGGTGATCCACCCGTTTTGGCCTTCCAAAGTGCTGGGATTACAAGCGTGAGCCACTACGCCCAGCCTAATTTCTGTTTTTGAAGTGTAATAAATACCAGAACATCTTACATACCCAAATAGGGCAATATATATTCCAAAGCTAAATATAAACTTTTTAAAACTGTCTTCATTTTAATTTGTTTGTACCTCTATTCTCTTACCTCATTGGGAAATCAGATTAAGTTGATATTAAGTGGATTTCTAAAAGTATAAATAATTCTTTAAACTAGTTTAATCTCAAGAAATAATGTTGTCATAGGCTAATGTGGATATAATAGCAAAATAATCTGCTTTTACAATAGATTAAATTTTTGTATTTAATATTTATTGTTCAGTAATTTTCTTAGATTGACCATCTCTTCCATTTTTTCTTATTCCTTTCTTTGTAAATCGGTCGTTATTTATGAATTGTCATTTTCTAATATCAATACAAACTTTTGGAGGATTTCTGTAATACAACCTTTAGAGTACAATCTTTTTGCTTTATGTTCTAATTCTTTAATATTTTAATTCTATTTCCCAGGAATCAAGAAAATACTTTTAACACTGTATTTGTCACTGAGAAAACTAGTTTTAATTTATACTGACCTTTTTCTCCTTTGAGCATTTAGTCTGCATTCAATAAAATGTTGATGACTGCTCTTTAGAAGACAGCTGTATGAAATAAAGTATTATAAATATTCAGCTTTCCTTTCTAAGCATTGTCACCAACAGCTGGGCATCCAGTTTAGCAGAACAGATTTTGCACACAGAGAGCTTGGCATGTTCCTGAATCAGTTTAGTGAAGGAAACAAAAAATAGTTTCTTATGGATTGGGGACTTATAAAGACATAGAGCATCTGTTCCTCAGTTAAGTCATAGTCTGGTTGCACTGAATCATGTTTAAAGCTAGACTAATGTGCAAAACTTTTTTCACTTTGCTTATACCTTTAACCCTAGTGGACTGTTTCTATACTATACTTTCAGCAACTCCACTGAAAGTGTATAAATTATTTTGCTCGTATGTATGATATTGTAATAGTGGTATTTTAAAGCTGACAAATATATAACTTTTATAACACTTTTTATGATATGACTGATGTTTAAATTGTATGGTAGTCCATGTATCTATAACTGCATATATTTTTTAAAGTAACTAATTTACATATTTAATTATCTCATTTAGAGATATGCAATTAGAATCAAATCTGTCATCATAAATAATTGCTTTCTTCATATGGTATTCTGCTTTAATAAATAATATAAAATTGGTTGGCAGAACTAACCAATAAAGATTAGTATGTAATAATAAAGATTATATATAATATATATTACATGAATAACTATACAATATGTTGTATTAATATACTGTATTAACATTAAGATACATACACAAAGATTATGTATAATATAATATATTGATATTAATTATTAATATTATATTGGTATTAATATAATTAATATTATATATAATCTTTGTGTGTATATATATTCTTAATTATTGAGCTACTTTAAATAAAACATGTCATATCTAAAATTTCTTTAAATTTTTGTTTGTAGTGTTAAAAGATCACTGAAATTGGATGGCCTGTTAAAAGAAGATGTAAGTATTTGCTTAAGAGTTTGTCATTGTATAAGATTGTGTTAACTACTGATTTACCTTGTTCAATATTAAAATTATCAAGACACAATGTGATATAATTGTGATTGGTGCACCATTTTCTGCACATAAGATATTTTAGTTTTTGTAAATCTAATATGTGGAAGTTTCTAGCCAGCTTGAGGTATTCAGTTAAGAAACTAATTACTTAAAAACCTTAATGAAATAATTTAGTAGAAATTAATTCACTATTTGTGGAAAAATATAGTCTGCCACTTAAATGTCAAGAAACAATATGGGACAATGACAGTACTTTTAATTTGCATACTATAATCTCCTAAAATGAAATGAAAACATTACCAGCATTTTTATATCAAAAATGTAATTACTTTCCCCAGCTATGCTGGCATGGATTAAACAGCATAATACTAACATTGTAATACATTGCACCATGGTTATCACAATGAAAATTAAATTGTACTGTTGCCATTACTTTTTGTAAATTGAGTTGTAGCACATTCCCAGTGCCAGCATATCAAGACATATGTTAGTTTATTATCTTTTCATACCAACTATGGATCTAGATACAAACACTAATACTGAGAGACTTATGACCTCAGTAATCTTAAATACAGGTAAGTTGGTGAGAAAGTAAATTAAAACAAATAGCTAGTCAATAAATACGCTCCTCCAAATTCACATATAAATACCATTTCAATAAATGGGTTTTATATGGAATTTTTCTTTGGAAGACTCACTAGTATTTAACAAAACAGAAATTTACCATTTAGAAAACTTCCTACACGCTTTTTAAAAATTTTTAAACAAAGGTGGCAAAGTACTGCAATGACACTAAAAAAATCATTAACAGTATAATTAGCAATTTAGAATACCATTATCCAACTTGTTCCGTGCAGAATGCAGCTGTGACTGTAATTCTGCATCTGTTTCTTTGGTCAGAATGGTATTTTGGTAGATGAGTAGTCCAGCTTGAAATGAAATACTGTTCTTTCCTGCCCCAAAGCTGTTCTTTGGGAGATGGTAGCATTGTTTAAATGGAAAAGAATGACCATTTCAGAATCTGTTCTCTTCATGAAGTAAATTGTCATCATGGCAGGCTTTCTATGTTTTTTTTCTTCAGATGAAGACATGTCAAGGTAGCCAGTGCCACAGCTAATATCCTGTATTAGAAAAATGCATTGTTATGTTTGGCCCAGTTCTGTACCTTTAAACAGAAATTAAATTGATTTAAGCTTGTACCAACTGATTTAGTAGTACCAATTGATTTAGCTTGGTACTACATGGTCACACTTGCCTGAATGAGGTTCCTAGCCTGGGCCTTTCTATTTCCTGACCAATTTCTGGGTTTTCAGCTTTGTCTTCTTGCCTTATCATTTGTTTGTAGCTCTATATTTACATCTTAGAGCTAACAGCTTTTGTTATGTTCTGGTGTTAAGTCTGGCCTTCTCTCCATGGCTGGATACACACTTCATCTACTGTAGTAACAATTTAGCCCTGAAGCAACCTGGATCCCAGTTATCTACCCACATGGTCCATGGTCCCATTGAGGCTGCCTTCGTCCATGTAAAAGGAAACTGGCCTTTAAAAATATATACCTACAATTTTAGGAGTACTTAATTGTTATGAAGCTATAGTGGAACTAGTAGTAACTTTGTGGTCATTTTACCTTACCAATATATTACTATAGGAGGAAGACTCTGGTGTCTAAGGAAAGGAGATGACCCTTATATGCCAGTTGGTTGAGGTGGAACCTGTTCATCCTAAGCAGTGGCCATATCCAGAGATATTTGGAACTCCTAACTTCCAGTATTCCTAATGCGGCTACAGATCTTCGTGGAGATTAATGCTCCATGATGTTTGGACAAGGCTCAATGCCATTTTCTTATGCCTCTTGATATGGTTTGGCTGTGTCCCCACCCAAATCTCATCTTAAATTGTACTTCCATAATTCCCATGTGTTGTAGGAGGGACACCCGGTGGGAGATAATTTGGATCCTGGGGGCAGGTTCCCCCATACTGTTCTCGTGGTGGTGAATAAGGCTCACGAGGCCTGATGGTTTTATCAGGGATTTCCACTTTTGCATCTTGCTCATTTTCTCTTGCTGCTGCCATGTAAGAGGTGCCTTTTGCCTTTCGCCATAAGTCTGAGGCCTCCCCAGCCATATGGAACTATAAGTCCAATTAAACCTCTTTTTTCTTCCCAGTCTTGGGTGTGTCTTTACCAACAGCATGAAAACAGACTAATCTACCTCTTCTAATGGGGGAAGTAGAGGTATGGACCATACCTTGGGTTCTTCCTATAATATATGAAATGTATATTGCCAGTACCACGATTTGCTGAGCCTCACAAATTGTTCAGTGTTGAAAGGAGGTGAACAAGATTCCATTTTATTATCATCTACAATATTTGGGCTGCTTGAGTTGTTGCTCTCCAAGCATTGTTTCTAGATGGATTTTCAGGAATAAAGATAAAAAATATATTACAAACTGTTGCCGATGGCAGTCCAGATGAATTTATATGGACAGCTGGCTACCTGGCTTATACTAACCCAGCTTGACCCAGTCTTTTTCAGGCCACTTCAGAGAGGGAATAGAAGATGGTACAGTTGGGAAGAGAAGAGCATACTTCTTACCAAGGCCAGCTCAACAGGAGTGGTGCAGGTTTTGTTGGGAGGTTTACTGATTTATATATAGATACTCAGCCTAGAGTACTCCGTTACTATTCATAAGACACCTTTATTTTTTTCTTTGAGACAGGTTGTCATTCCCTTGCCCAAGCTGTAGTACCATGGTGTGATCACAGCTCACTGCAGCCTCAACCTTCTGGGCTCAAGCAATCCTTTCACCTCAGCCTTCTGGGCAGCTGGTACTACAGGCATGGACCTCTATCCTCAGTTAATTTTTTGTATTTTTTTTTTAGTTTCACTACGTCATCTAGGCTGGTCTGAAACTCCTGAGCTCAAGCAATTTGCCCATCTTGGCCTCCTAAAGTGCTGGGATTACAAGTGTGAGGCACCATGCCTGGTATTAAGACACTTCTAAGTCAGATTATTCCCATGGCCTAATGTCATCTGTCCAATTCTAGAACATTTCTCTCACCCCAAAAAGAAGCCCCATACCTGTTAGCAGTTAGTCTCAATTTCCTCCTCTCCCCATCCCCTGGAAACCACTAATCTACTTTGTCTCTATAGATTTTCTTATTCTGAACATTTCATATAAATGGAATCATAATTTTATGTCTGCTTCTTACATTTAGCATAACATTTTCAAGATTCAATTTACCTATTTTTTCTTTTATTGTCCTTTTGATGTCATGTCCAAGACACTGTGTTTAATCTATGGAAACAGATTTTTATCTATGTTTCTTTCTAAGAGTTTTATGGAATTAACTTTTTCATTTAGGTCTTCCATTTTGAGTTAATTTTTATACATTGTACAAGGGTAGGGACTAGATTCATTCTTTTTTTTTTTTTTTTTTGGAGACCAGGGCCTCGCTCTGTCATTCAGGCTGGAACACTGTGGCATGAACTCAGCTCACTGCCACTTCCATCTCACAGGTTCAAGCAGTTCTCCTGCCTCAGCTCCTGAGTAGCTGGGATTATAGGCACATGCCACCATGCCCGGCTAATTGTTGTATTTTAGTAGTCAGGTTTTCACCATGTTGGCTAGGCTAGTCTCAAACTTTTGACCTCAGGAGATCCGCCCACCTCAGCCTCCCAAAGTGTTGGGATTGTAGGCATGAGCCACTGCACCTGGCCTAGATTCATTGTTTTGCATGTAGATATCTGGTTGCTGAAACAGATACCCACATGTGAAAAAAAATGAATCTAATCCCTACCATTTGCTAAAACTACTGTTCTTTGCTTCATTGAATGGCCTTGGCACCTTTCTTAAAAATCAAGTGATCATAAATGTATGCATTTATTTCAGAATTCCCAGATAAATTCCATTTGTCTATCTATATATATGTGCTCATGTTACTACCATGTGGTCTTCATTACTGTAAGTTTCTAAGATTAAAAAACGTTAAGTTTGAAATCAAGAAGTCCTCCAACTTTGTTCTTTTTCAAAATTGATTTGGCTATTCCATATCCTTTGTAATTCTGTATGAATTTTGGAATCAGTACACTTCTGAAAAAGAAAAGGAATTGGAACTTTGTTAAGGATTACATCAAATTTGCAGAATCAGTTGGGAAATTTACAATCTTAACAATAATAGTAAGTCTTCCAAACCATGAACATGAGATATATTTCTAATACCACTTAATGTGTTTCAATAATGTTTTATAGTTTTCATTATATAAGTCTTGTACTTTTTTGATTAAATTTATCCCTACATATTTTACTCTTTTTATGCTATTATCAATGGAATTGTTTTACAATTTCACTTTTAGATTAGTCATTGCTAATGTATAGAAATACAACTGATTTTTACATATGGATTATATATCCTGCTGTTTGTTGAACTGATTTATTAGCATTAGTAATTTGGGGATTTTCTTTTTTTGTGATGGAATCTTGTTCTGTCACCCAGGCTGGAGTACAATGTTGTGATCTCATCTCACTGCAATCTCCACCTCCTGAGTTCAAGCGATTCTCCTGCCTCAGCCTCCCAAGTAGCTGGGACTACAGTCGCATGCAACCATGCCTGGCTAAATTTTGTATTTTTAGTAGAGAAAGAGTTTCACCACATTTTCCAGGCTGGTCTCAAAACTCCTGACCTCAGGTGATCTGCCCGTCTCGGCCTCCCAAAGTGCTGGGATCACAGGCGTGAGCCATGGCTCCCTGCCCTGTTTAGGGTATTTTATATATAAGATCATGATATCTGCAAGTAGGGATAGTTTCCCTTCTTCTTTTCCAGTCTATGCCTTTTATTTCTTTTTCTTTTTTTTTTTTTTTTTTATTGCATTTTAGGTTTGGGGATACATGTGCAGAACATGCAAGATAGTTGCATAGGTACACACATGGCAGTGTGATTTGCT